AAGAGCTGGCCAGCGGCCGGAGCACCAAGAGGCAGGCAGGGCTGCAGGCTGCTGCGGCAACAGAACGCTGGGGGGTCCAGCTTGGGGACCAGCTAGCCCGATGGCAACATTTACCAGGGGTCACGGTGTGGAAGCTGACGGAGAAGACCCAAGCTCACACAGTAGATTAAGTCGGAGGCAGGTCTCCCCTCCACAGCTCAGTTTGGGGGTGCAGGTGGGCGTCCTGGAGGTGGTGATGAACCATCCATACCGCATGGGACTTACTTGCTTCTGCGCATGTCTTTGCTGACAGCAGCCTGGCCCCTCAGCGGGCTGTTAGGCAGAAAATCCGTTCTTAGCTCTGTTAGAATCCTGCCTTAGCTTTGTTTAGTCACAGGGAGACCTTGAGCCAGTCCTTTGACTATGTCCTGCTTTATACATTTATGAAATGACTGTCGATTTTTAAAAAGATTTTATTTATTTGTGAGACACACACAGAGGGGCAGAGACGTAGGCAGAGGGAGAAGCAGGCTCCTGGATTGTGACCTGAGCCAAAGGCAGACACTCAACTGCGGAGTCACCCTGGCATCCCGAAATGACTGTCGATTTTGAGGGGAAAGGGAAATGTTTCCTTTGTTGGCCTACTGTGAGACCTTTAATGCTACTCCTTCTACAAAGAAACACACTCCTTCAGAGAAGACATCACCCACTCTAATCCTTTCTGTGAAAATGCAGATGCCTCCAGCAGTGAGTGTGGCATCTTAGCTGCCCTACCAGGGGCAATCGCTTTACAGGACGGCTCCGATCTGTGCAGGCGGGGCATCGGTTTAGGGAGGCAGTGTGTTCCTAGAGTGTGTTTGGGGGAGGAGGTTCTATGGAAGTGGCCCCCATTGCACAGGGTGGAGCAGAGGGGTCAAACCAGATCCTAGGGAGATGTGGTGAGCCTTAGGCCCAGTCTCAATCCTGCCAGCCCAACTCATGACTGCTAGGGCTTGGAGCCCTCCCAGGATCTCCTGGGGCCATCTCTGCCTCTGCTTAGGGCAGGAAGTGTTGCCTGAGACCTATCCTCAGTGACTTGAGGACCTGTCAGACCTGTCAACCTTCCCCAGCAGTTGTCCCACAGAATTTCAAAAACCCAGATTTCTGGTTGGACTGCAGAGGCGAAAGCACCAACAGAAGCAGCAGCCCTATTCCATCCCAGCTAGTGGATCTGGGGTCCCCTCACCAGGGCCTGGAGCGGGCACAGACTTACCACCTGCCCACGGCTTCCAGGCCTTGTTGCCCCCAGCGGGCCACCCCATCTCTCTTGTCCACCACTGCCAGGCTTGGCCGTGCCCTCACCTGCCTGGCTCATGGCTTCACACAGCCCAGGTGACTGCTTCCTTGCCCATTCACCTGTCCATCCATCCTCCAGCCAGCTCCCTGATGGCCACCAGAAACACAACAGCAAACAACCCATGGTCCTCCTCTGTGTGGAGCTCAAGGTCTCACAGGGCAACAGATACAGCAACTACAGCTACAGCATCTGATGTCCTGTGTGGGCCTGCTGCTGTCCAGCTGTGGCCTTCCTTGCTCTAGGCCCCAGCCAGAGCTGTGCCATCTGATGTGTCTGCCATCACATCCTCATGGTGCTTGTTCATGCCTCAGAGCCCCGCGCAGTTATGGGGAGTTTTCAGGTCTCCCTCGAGATGGGGCTCAAGGGGATGCGGTGTCTCACTTACAAACAGGTTAGAAGACTCCTCTTAGTAAAGCAGAGGAGTGGGAGAGTTAAAATACCTTAGAGGGAACAGGGGATGATTTCTAGATCTCTAGACTGTGGTCTCAGAGAGCTGTAGTGTTCTAGGGTGTGTCTGAATGGAACTAATGTAGCTCTTTGTAGCAGATGTGTAAGTGTGCGTAAGCCCTCTATGTATCTACTTGCATTTGACTTATTCCCTTGAACTGGTTGAATTGGACAAGAAAAGCTAACTAGTGAGCACTGACTATGTGCTAGGGACTACACTAGATGCTTTAAATACTGTACTTCATTTGACCACCACAGCCAGCCTTTACCCTTTGTGTTTTCCAGAAGAAGAAACTTGAGGAACAGGGAAATTCAGTCACTTGTCCAGGATCACAGAACCAGTATGTGGTGGAGCATGAATTCCAACCCAGGCAGCCCCCCTCCACCCGCCCCCCGCCACTTACACAGTCCCACCTGGGAGCCGCCACGGCAGGCATGCATGCCTCGTGACAGTGTGTGTGTGCACATGCACCCCCCCCACCCGCGTGCACTGCCCTGTGCGTGGGGCTGAGAGAATGCAGCTGTGAGGGTCTCTCCAATCTGCTCAAGCTGTCTATGCAGGCCAAGGAACGTGGTATCAGGTGTGAAAATGGGAGTGGCTGCAGGGACTTGGTGACTTAAATTGTTCTCTTCTCCAGAAAAATGGAATCTAGCATGGAGCAGAGTTTTGCTGCCCTGAAACCTGGTATGAGGCGAGCAGGGGATTCTGCAAGGAGAGTTTGGGAATCAACAGAGTCTGAAACAAGTGAGACATGTCCTGATTCCCTTCGGCCTGCCCTGCACTTCATCCTGTGGTCCCAGAGGGACTCCCCAACACTTGACTCTGAGTCTCAGACTCCTCATGGGGGAGGCAGCTTGTTTCCTCTCACAGACCTTGCATCTGGGAGGGTTTGCTTCTTCCTGGAAGGGAGAGGACCCCTCTCAGTGGCAGAGGTTCCCTGGAGGAGCGGGGCAGTTGTCCCGCTGGAACTCTGGGGTGCATGTCCCCAGCCAACTTCCTCTCTTCTGCCTTTGAAGGTCAGATGCAGTCTCCCCTGTGTGTTCCCCTTTCTACAGGTACACTGCTGCTCCCTAGCATAGTCTTGGGAACATTTTGGTCTCTGGAGGGATCATCGCTGCATTTAGAATCTGTGTATGAAATTTAAAGGTGCTTTCAAAACGGTGGGCTTCATGAAACCACCTAGCACATGGCTTCTTCTGCTTGCCAGTCTTGACATCAAGGTATCTCATATCCTACAAACTGAATATTGGGCCTTCTGGAGGCAAGCAAAGCCTCCCCCTGACTGCCCGCCAGGTCTACAGCAAAGACAAAATCCTTTATCAGGTGGTCACAGAGTGCAGATGAGCTCTTGGGCCCTGTACCCAGTTTACCAGGCTTCCAACCTTCTCTAGCTCCATATATGCATCCTAGGTGAGCTCGTGGATATGGACTTGTTATATTCCCTCTCTCAGGTCTTACAGTGGTAGGTATCTAACTTTACTAAGTGCCTACTGTGTGATAGATGCTTCTCTCCGAGCTTTACATATGCCACCTCCTACGACCATCATAACACCACCATGGATGGGTACTATTATCTTATGCCTTTTCTGAGGGATAAATGGAGACAAGAGCAGGCTAAGTCACTTGCCCAAGATCACAGGGCTAGTGAGTGGCATGAATTTGGGCAAGATGCCCTTTCTAAGTCTCAGTTTCCTCATCTGTGCAATGTATTAATACCATCATCTATCTTAGTGTTTTTAGGATTCAGCTGGGCAGGGCACATAGCACCTAGCAGAGTCCTAAGCACACAGTAAGCGCTCATCAGACATGGCCACTTAATGGTACAGCTAATGTTAACCCCAGCTTGAAGAGAGAGAAAACACAATATTTTTAGCAGCAATAACAGTGGTGATCAAATGATGAAGTGATTTGCTCCTCAACAGGTGTCTTCATGAGCCTGCACAAGCTCCTGAGGGCAGAGACTTTGTCAGCCTCATTCACTGCAGATTCCCAGGGCTTTTCATTGCATCTGGTGAAAGTTTGTTGAATGACTGAGTGAAGGACCACTTGGGGACCCCCCCCCAGGGCCATTCACAATATTGTATGGCCCCCTTTCCTCACAGCCCTTGCCCTCCTGTGCCTTGTGGCTGTGAAATGAGTGCACTTGCATTATTCCTTATTAGAAAGGAAGCCTCCCAGGCTAGAAGAGGCCTGGGTCCTCCCCACTGCTATCTTCCCCAAGGGGGAGGGGGGATGCTCAGGGAGGACCTTGCAGTGCAGCTGAATCTCCTTGCAGCCCACGTTGGGTGCAAAGGGGCTTTTCTTCTTGGGTGGGAAGTAGTGTTGAAAGCCTTGTTGGACGTTGTTATAGGCCTGAAGATGTGAGCCAGCCAGTAGGCGGCATCATGGCCTCAGTGTCTCAGATATTCTATAGCACAGTCTGGGATGATGACGACAACCTGAATTTGTGGGTCCCTCCCTTCTTTTTAATTTTTTAAATTTTTATTTATTTATGATAGTCACAGAGAGAGAGAGAGAGGCAGAGACATAGGCAGAGGGAGAAGCAGGCTCCATGCACCGGGAGCCTGACGTGGGATTCGATCCCGGGTCTCCAGGATCGCGCCCTGGGCCAAAGGCAGGCGCCAAACCGCTGCGCCACCCAGGGATCCCTGGGTCCCTCCCTTCTTTACACAATGAACATTGTTTCTAAATGGCACTTCCAAACCCCCACTGCTCCTAGGATGGCATGGACAGGGGCTGCCTATGCCCAGCTCCCCTGTTCATTGATAAAGTTGTCCCACCCTTGGCCTGCCTGGCTCACTACTTGTCCCTTATTTTTGAAAGCCCACCCTCATAGGTACATGACCCACTTTGAGTAAAATAACTGCTGAGCTGAATTCTATCACAACCTCCCTCCCCACCCTCTCATAGAATGAGCCCTGAATGAGCCCACTGCTCTGGGAAGCCATCTTTCCCTGAAGACTTTGCCCTCTTGTCAGCCAAGGCTTTGATCCAGAAATGACACAGTGAGGGAACGTGAGGATGACCCTGATGATGAATTTCCAGGCAGGCCCAGCCCCCAGCTCCCCACCGCCAGGAGACCCTGAGCTCTGCCCGCATCCTTTCCAGAAATGTGAGCCCCCACCTTTCCAATTTCCTCTTACACCTCTTCTGTGTTTCCCGCCCCCGCCTCTGCGTGACAACGTGGCGTGCATGCAGCCCATCTGGGGATCGGGGAATCCTATTGGGTATGCCAGCTTAATGAAATACTTGCAGTTTATTAAACACAGGCTTCCCTAAGCCCCAAGTGCCTGTGGGTATTTGAAAGCCCAAGGTAACCCCGAGCTACCACAAACGTAATTGTTACATGTGTCCATACATTCCTCTCGCAACCTCAAACTCCAGCTCTTAAGCAGCTCACGAAATTAGCAACATAAAGTAACTCCTAGGCAGAGGAGAGGAGGGAAACGTGGGGAGAGGCTTGAGCGAGGCTCTCAGACCCCTCAGGGCCTCTAAAAGTATATGAAGTTCCCATTACCTTGCATAGCTGTAACTGGGGACGCTGCTCCCCCACCCCAGGTTGTTCATGTTTGCAAAATCAGTTCATCATTACCGGTCAGGTCTTGCTTGTCGACCTCGCCCAGTGTCGCTTCAAGGGTTGAAGTCCTATGACAGGCAATGCTTGCCCTGGGCAGCTGAGGGGACTAGCTGGGTACCCTGTCCGAGGGCTCCTTCTGGAGCTGTGTTTCTGTTCCTCCTTCCGGGCTTGCCAGGGAAGGGCCGTGGAGCAGCCCCAGGTGCTCTGGAGCCTGCAGCCCTGGGCTTGGAGGAGGCTGCTCCTGGGAGGTGCTTTCCCATTCATCAGTCTCCTCAGCCTGGGGCCTGTGAATCAGGGGCGAAGGGCTGAGATGGAAGCAGCAGGCAAAAGCCTCCAGGGAGGTACCTCCCTCTACACGGACCACCATCTGGATGCCGGAGAAGGCGACCCTGTTGACCACGCTCAGGGGAACCTGCTCCAGGAACCTCAGAGTCAGCCCATTGACCCACACGCAGCCCTTGCGGCTTAGGGCCTTTAGGCAGAAGGTCAGCAGGGTGCTGCCCTCCTCCCGGTAGGGCTCCAGCGACAGGTGCCGGCGGGAGAGGCGGGGGAGCAGCAGCCGGAGGTGGGCATCCGGGCCCCGCCCCACCAGCAGAGGGCTGGTGTCATGCTGCAGCTGCGCCGGGACTTTGGCAAAGGCGTCCGGGTCCCGTGTGGGGTGATACAGGCTCACATGCAGGACTGTGAGGGCCCTCTCCATGGCCGGGAGCCTGGGAACGCTGGAACAAGAGACACGTGGTTAGAGCCGGACACCGCTGTGACTCCCTGAGCTAGACATGCTTGCCCAGCTCAGGGGCTCTAAACCACCTCCAGCAAAACAGAGCAGAGCACGGAGGGTGGGTATGGTCATTCTGTCCAAGTTGGGATGGCGCCAAGGCCGGAGTTGGTGTGGAAGGTCAGCCCCACTGGGTGTAGCCTCAGCTTCATCTCTAGATTCTCTGTGAGTAGGACTTAACACTCATCCGCTCTGAGCTTTAGCTTTCTTTTCTGTAATATAAGTATGCCCGTCCTTGTCTTTGCAAGGTATAAGGCATTCCAGCTTGCATGGTGTGGTTTTGGTGGCCTACTGTCATTTGGAGACAATCTGGCCCTGCTTCGTGGGAAGGGAAGGGCAGGCAGACAGGATACACCTTCCTCGTATCCAACAGTCACACACAAAAACCCCTGCTGAGCCCTCGTCTGGGCCAGGCCCTGATCAACTGCTGGGAATGAGCCCAAGCAGCAGGAGAACAAGCCCTTGGTCTCCAAAACACCCAGCTGGTGGAGGAGAGAGGTGCTTCTAGCAGCAGGGGTTATGGACAGACAGACTGGGGAAGCCAGCTGTCTGGGGGACTAGAGAAAGAACAAAACCAGCTAGCATGTTCTGAGTGCTTCTATGGGCCTGGCACTATACCAAGTACATTTTGGACATGGATGTCTCACTAGATGGGCAGGAGACAGATCCTGATGAAGAAGGTGGAGAGCATGGAGAGATCTCACTCAAGAACTGACAGGGGAAAAAAAAAAAAAAAAGAACTGACAGGGGCTCTGCGGGGCCTCGTAACAAGGCTGCCACGGTGTGAAAAGCACACATCCTTTGTCCCAGTAATTTCACCTCTGGTAATTTGTCTTTTAGAAATCTCATGGGCACGTGCAGTAAGGCTACTTACAATAGCTGGCTTTGCTCCTGCATGGATTTGAGGAATATAAACTCTCTGGCACATTCCCCAACCCCATATGGTCCAGAACCTGCCATCTCCTTCAGTGGGAACCAAGAGATGCATGGATTTGAATAACTAATTGTGTACTTTCCCAGCACCAGGCTTTGGCCTGCAATATTGTCTCTGCTAAGAATGCATCTTCCATCCAAACTCTGCCCAAATACAGCTCATCTTTAAAGAACTAGTTCAAATGTGGCCTCTTCTATGAAGCTCTCTTCTTCTCTCTGGCCTCCAATCTCCTCTGGACACCCCCCATTCAGCTCATCTTCTCATTACACATCAGAGTTATGTGGGTCCTTGTCCTGTCTTCCCTGAGCTCTGCCCCTCCTGCTGTCTCTGAGGCCTCTGGGGCAGGCTGCGGTCTGAGCTGCCCTGTGTCCCACTGCCCTGTGCAAACGAGGCCTGGCCACAGTATCTGTCTGGGGGTATATTTGCCAAATGGCTAAATGAGGAGATGCTCACACACATGAAAATCCTGTGAAATCAGGTGTTGGGATGCTGCAAATAAGAGCCTGGTCCTGTCACAGGCAGTCTGAGTCCCAGGCCCTCTGCCCCTTCTACCTTTTGGGTTAAGAAGGCTCATGGTGAGGACCTTCCACTCTGACAGTGAGGGGCAGACCCCTCAGGACCCCCCCCCCACTTCCCTAAAGCACAGACATACATGTGTCTCCATCCCACGTCCCATCTCCTCCCGAGGTACGAAAGGTGAACTGGGCCTGGGACAGCTGAGCGGGTATCCAGGTCCTCAAGCCTGGCCAGAAACTCAGAGTTCACTTCTAGGGCCTGACCCCATGCCACAGGGACCTTGAGAGAATCCTCCAGAAATAAATGTTCTCTGCTGCTCATGAGCTGTTACTCTCTGCTCCACTGAGCACCCCAGCGCTGACAGAAATCCCCCACCAGGGCAGAGCCCCTGACAAGGCCCTCTCATGTCTGGAGGACCCCCCCCCCAGTTTTTCTGGGAAGCAGAAAGCAGCCCTCCCAGGGATGTTTCTGAGATGAGACGATAGGAAGATACTGAGACGGGTGCCTGGTGAAGAGCCTGCAGGGTCCCTTCTTGTCCCACCAGGCCCTCTACCCTGGCTGTGGCTCCAGTCCCCCCGACCTTCACCTACCTTGCCAGGGGTGTGCCAAGGGCACACCTGCATCTGCTACTCTGGCTGTGAGCTCTCAGGGGCAAGTGGGTCTGGGCCGGGGTGCGTCTGGGGTTGGCAGTCACGGCTGCGGTGCAGGGATGTGATGTGTCACACCATTCATTGGTTTTGTTGTTCTCTTTTTCCCTTTAGGAAAGAAAATGGAAGTACAATTTCCCATTGCAGAAGTGCAACCCCAAAGCTGAGAGGTTGAGAAACCTCAGCCTGGGATCCTTACTAGCAGAGGCCCCTGGTGGGGAGAGGGGGGGTTCCCTGCTGGGTTTCAGTGCTGCCCATGTCTGTAGCCGGTCCCCAGGGTCCTTGAGAGCAGTGTCTGGTGGCTGGTAGCTGGTAGCTGCCAGCTGGTCTAGAGTTCCTCTTCTCCCCTGCCCATAGGGTGGGGTGAAGGAATCCCAGGCCTATTAGAAACTAGAAGCTTTTTGAATAGAGAGCCAATGAGGGCAACCCACATACATGGGAGACTGTGAGGACAGCATTCTGGCTGGACCAGGAGTGACCAAGGGAGCTGTGAGTGGGCAACAGAGCAGACCATTGAGTGTGTCAGAAAGGGCAGGGCCTCAGGGGAGGGGAGTAATGGCTGCTCACAGTGGGCAGCCTCTCTTCCAAGACAGCAGAAAGGCCGTCTTATCTATCCACCCTTCCTGGGCTCTGCTGGCCTTCCAGGGCAGCCTTGGAGAGACCAAGATGGATGCTTGCCCAGCACTGTGGGCCCTCACCACCCTGGAAGTGACCCAGGGTCACCATGGTGCTAACCCTTCATGTGGCACAAGTCTGCATCGTCCATCAGTGTTCATACTGTCTTCACTGCATCCACAGAGCTGGCAAGAGACATGTGCCCATCTTATACAGGGGGCAGTCGAGGCCCTAAGAGGGGCAGTGCCAGGCCCAAGGCGCCAGAACAAATTAGCTTACAATCCTTTCTCTTTTTTTCCATAAAACCCAGACTATCCTGGGGACTCTTGGAGGATATATAGGTGGCACAGCATGTAGGTACCCCAATCTCCCTCACTGTCCCAGACCCGCTGCCTACCCACTCCTCATGGGTGACCCTTGTAGCCATAGAGATCTCAGCAGGCCACATCCTGGGGGCTCAGCCCCTCTAGGCACTACTCAGCACCTAGCTCGCTTTCTCTCTTCTGAGCATTCAGACTCTAGTTGGCTGCTTAGTAACTAAGAAGGACAATAGGAAAATCTGGAAACAGTCAAGTATCCCTATGTATCCCAGCCAGTGTGACAACACATCTGGGGTTCCCCCAGGAAACCAGCTCCCCAGAGCCGAGACATGTGTGTGCCCCTGGAGGGAACCAAGCGTCAGCCTCAGGCTGCCTCGCCATAGTCCATCTTCTCCACTGTGTGTCTAAGCCCCAGCATGCAGAGGGCTGGGCCAGGTATGTGGGGGAGGCCTGTTCCCATCAGGATCCACACAGGATGTCAGCATCCCTGTTGGGAACCCAAGATAGTGGGCCACAGGCAGAAGGCGGGCCACAGGCAGAAGCCTGGCATGTGACGTTGGGTGAGTCCCAGCCCCTCTTTGGACCTTAGTTTTCCTTCCTTGGAGATGGGACACTGCGTCGCCGCTGCACCCTGCAATCATGTTTCATTGAGAGCTGGGCCATGTCCACGCTCCCAGTCCTGGCATGGGAGAGGAGGTGGGCAGAAGAGATGCGTTCATGATTTCAGTGCCCTCAGTAAACTGGTTCAGATCAGTTTCCAGGAAAAGAGAACTGAAACAGCCCGGGTCCAGGACGAGGAAGTCCTGCTCCATCTGCAGCTTCTGAAAGTGACCTGGAAGTCCTGCCAAAGTCCTGCCAGTCCCTGGCTGGCAGTCCCCTGAGGGGAGAACGAGAGCAGCGGGAGTGGGGGTGCCGGTTTCACTCTTCCTGGCCCCCTGAGCTGGAAGGGCCTTCCCTAGTTGGTGTTGGGACCCTGAGGAGTGTCCATCAGTGAACAAATGTCCCTGTCATGTGCTGCTTGGAGAATGCAGGGCCAAAACAGCTTCCAGAGCTTTCTATGATGGTGGGCATGTGAGGATTCTGGTGTCAGAGTCTAGCGTGAGGCTTGGTTCCTTCTTACAGCAAGTGCATGACCACATGCTCTCTGAACCTGATTCCTACCTGTGAAATCGGGATAGTTGGTTGTTGTGCGATGGCTAAATGTGATGCGCACCAAGTGCCAAACACGGGGTAGGAAACTGGTGCACGAGAGCCGCTTGGGGTAGCACCCCTAACAGCAGAGGAGCGTGAGGCAGCTCTGGTGAGAGGGGCTTCCGAATTCTCGAATTCTCGAATTCTCGGAAGGCACCACCTCGCTTAACAGGAACAGAATGTGGAGTTGAATACCTCATTTGCATGAATTTAACATAAATTCCTTTTTAAATGATAATGAAGTTAAAGGGGTGCTCTAGGAAGACCCTGCAGGTTAGGGCCCCAACACAGGAGGACAAGGCTGCCTCTTCGACAGACAGACAAGGAAGCTGAGGCTCACAGGGATCAGTCGGCCAGCCCAAGGTCTCGAGTGTGACACGCAGCAGAACTAGGACTCGCACCCCCTCGGCGGCGCCCTGGGGCCTAATCGCGGAGCTGCAGAGCCTCGTAGGCGTCATTCTCTGGAGTCCAGATGGCCTGCCTTCTGCAGGTGTGCTCCAGCTGGCCGGCTGGCAGTGCGCTCTGCGAAGGGGCGGCCCAGCTTCCAGCCAGCCAAGCCTGTGTGCAGCCACCCCCTGGGTCGTGGTGGCCCGTGACCACCAGGTGGCGGCACCCGTGGAACCAGCGGCCTGCTCCCCGGGGAACGGGAGGGTGGTGAAGGGTGGAGGCGTCATTCATGGGGCCGCTGGGGAGGAGGGCATGAGGGAGGCCCGGTGGCAAGGGGAGACAGCCCTTGCTTCTCCCACTCAAAACGCCCTGCAGTGGCCCAAGGTGAATCAGCAGCAAAGGGCGCCAGAGAACAAGTCCCTGAGGGCGGAGATAGAGCAGGAAGCCCAGCCCGACGCCTGCGGAGCAGCGCTACGCGGGACGGCTGCGGGGCAGGCGGGCTCCTAAGGGTTGGGGCCTGCTCGAGAGCACGGACTTGGCGCCCAGCACAGCAGGGATGAGGAGCCAGGCTTCCTGACCGAAACTGGAGTGACACTGCCGCCCGGGGAGTGGGAATCCGACAGAGGAAATGCAGGCAGCGGGCACAGCCCAGGACGCCGTGTGCGCATGGCAGGGGAAATGTGGGTAGAGTACTATGTTTGTAGTGACTGGCACTCTGCACATAGCATACACGTAGTAGCTCATTCCCACCGTCATGACTGCTGCTGACTGAGCTCTCAGGTAGGAAAAAGAACTCCTGTAACTCATCGAGGTGGGTGCTGCGAGGAGGGACGCACAGAACCATGTATGCCAGGAGGGGAAGTCTAACTTGCCGGGGGAAGGGGACTCCAGGGAAGGCCTCCTGGAGGAGGGGAGCTTCTGCTGACCCTGCACTGGGGGATCTGAGCCGATGCCTGTGGAGGAAGGTGGGAGTCAGTACCCAGTTTCTGCAAATGACTTTGCCCCCGCCTCCCCCAAGCTCTGGGCTAATAAAATGATAACTGCAAGGTAATGGTGGGTCTGACAGGTTAACCATTTAGGGAGTCCTCTCCGAGTGATCTTGCAGGGTTTGGCCAGCTCTACTAGCCTCCTGGCCCGAGCCCCGGTGGGAAGCAAGTGGCTCTCAGGGGTGCCTTGGCCACTTGCTCTCCACCCAGAGTGCTGGCTGGGCCTCCACATGGAGGCTGGGCTGGCCACTCGAGGCAGGGAGGCCTCCATCTTCAGAGGAGAGGGAAATGGTGAGAAGCAGCAGCTCAGGAGCTGCCGCCATTCCGGCCCACACTCCCTCTCTACTCCAGGGGTCACTGCTAAGCCTAATTTCATAATTGTGCTAAATGCTTAATATATGTTGATTTTACTTATTGCTAAACCCGATAATAAGGATTTACTTAGGGGCTAAGTCCTGGAGCCCTGACCAATGCCTGAGGCAGGCCTGGGGTCGGGTGCCTGGGTATTCTGAGTCCTTCTTGGATCTTACGGTTGGATAAGGTGGTCAGGCCACACAGAGCTGGCACTAGTAAGCCCAGAAGTTATCTTGTACTTTTGACCTTTTTCTCCATTGAGCTAAACGGCCATCCCTTGGGTCACTAAGGGAAGGAGGCGGTGGCCTGGGCTTGGCCAGCCTTCCCTCCCTCCACCTTCACCTCACAGCATCCAGAGCAGCAGAGGGCCAAAGGGCAGGAAGGGAGCACTGATTGGGAGCCAGCCTTGGCTTTGCTGTGGACACACCCAGGGGCAAGTCACCTTCCCTTCCCCTCCCTCCCCTCCCCTCCCTTCCCCCTCTCCTTCCCCCCTTCTCCCTTCCCCCCTTCTCCCTTCCCTTCCCTTCCTTTCTTTTCCCTTCCTTTCTGGGACTCAGTGTCCTCATCTAGAGAATGGAGATTATCATGCATGCCCTCTAGCCATCATCTTCATTTAAACTTTAAGAGGAGGCAACTTATGTTTGATCAGAAAGATTTGCCTGGGGCTGCTTTCTGTTTCAGTCAAGAACTGTATGGGGGCACCCGGGTGGCTCAGTGGTTGAGCATTCGCCTTTGGCTCAGGTTGTGATCCTGGGATCCTGAGATGGACTCCTGGGTCGGGCTCCCTGTAGGGAGCCTGCTTCTCCCTCTGCCTGTGTCTCTGCCTCTCTCTCTCTCTCTCTCTCTCTCTCTCTCTCTCTCTCTCTGTCTCTCATGAATAAATAAATTATAAAAATCTAAAAAAAAAAAAAGAACCCGAATGGAAGAAACACAGCTTGCTCTTATTTAGAGGATGCATCTGGCTAGCAAAGACGGCCTCAAACACAGCATAACACACATCAAACATGGGCTTTTTGTTTTTAATTAAGTGAGGTAAAAGCCTAGCATAAATACTTTTAACTAACGTTAAGGAATAAAGTATATCTTGAAATTAGCGTGTCTTCAAAGGCAGACTTTTAACATGCCATGAAAAAAACCTCTGTGTGGGAATTTAGGTGGTTCCTGGTGCCTAGAAATACTCTGTTCAGATCTGATAGCAACAGGAGGGAGAAGAAAACAGCTCTCCCTCTGCAAATAGTTATCTGTCTTTAAATTGTGGTAAAACGTACAATATATAAAATTTACCATTTTAATCATGTTAAATGCACAGTTCATCGTGTTAAGTATATTCACATTGTTGTGCAACTAATCTCAGAACCTTTTCATCTTGCAGAACTGAAACTCTCTAAACCAATGAAAAGCCTCCCCCACATCCCCTTCTTTTCAGCCCCTGGCAACCACCATTCTACTTGTTTCTATGACTATTCTAGATGCCTCGTTAAGTGGAGTCAGACAGTATTTGTCCTTTGGTCACTGGTTTATTTCCCTTAACAGAGTTCATCCATGTTGTAGTAGGTATCCGAATGTCATTCCTTTTTAAGGCTGAACAATACTCCATTGTATATACCACATTTTGTTTATCCATTCTGTCAATGGACACTTGCGTTTCTTCCTTCCACCTGCTGGCTATTGTGAATAATGCTACTGTGAATATGCTGTAGAAATATCTATTTGATCCCTCGTTTTCAGTTCCTTTGGATATATTCTTAGAAGTGGACTTGCTGGGTTGTATGGTAAGTTTTTGTTTAATATTTTGAGTAACCACTATAGTGGCCATAGAGGCTGCACCATTGTACACCCTTCCTCAACAACACACAAGATTCCGATTTCTCCATATCGTTGGTTGCCAACATTTGTCATTTTCTGATTTTTTTTAACAGTAGCCATCCTAATGAATGTGAGGTGATAATATCCTTGTGGTTTTGATTTGCATTTCCCTGACAATGAGTGAGGCTGAATATCTTTTCATGTGCTGTTGACCATTTGTATATCTTCTCTTAAAAAATGTCTATTAAGTCTTTTGCCCATTTTTAAGTTGAGTTGTTTTCCGTTATTAAGTTATAGGTATTCTTTTTTAAAATATTTATTTAATCGTGAGAGACACAGAGAGAGAGGCAGAGACAGAGGCAGAGGGAGAAGCAGGCTCCATGCAAGGTGCCTGATGTGGGATTTGATCCCAGGACCCTGGGGTCATGCCCTGAGCTGAAGGCAGATGCTCAACCCCTGAGCTGCCCAGGTGTCCAGTTGTAGGCATTCTTTATATATTCTGGATACTAATCCCTCATTAGATAGAGGATTTACAAATACCCCCCCCCCATTCCATGAGGTTGCCTTTTCTCTCTGTTGACTGATCCTTTGATGCAGGGCTTTAAATTTTGATGTAATCCAGTGTACCTATTCTTACCTCTTGCCTGTGTTTTTAGTGTCATACCTAAATCATTATTGCAAAATCCAGTATCAGAATGCTTTTCCTCTAAGAGTCGTGGAGTTTTAGGTCTTACATTTAGGTCTTTAATCCATTTTGAGATAGTTTTCGTATACCATCTAAGGTCAGGGTCCAAATTCTTGTGAATTTGCAGTTTTCCTACAAAGAGTTATTTAAAGTTATTTAAAGATAAGATCTGATTAATGGTGACAATGTACCATATTTGACCATATCAGGTGGAATAAAATACCACAACATTTATATACCTTGATAACACAAAACAAAAAGCACTCAAACTGACCTTGGAGTTTTTGTTAGTTCTGTGTTCTCATCTTTATATCATTGAGTAGAAATACTCCTCCTTTGAAATAACACAGCACACTGTCAGCAGTACAGGATTTTTCCTGACGATATGAATCTCATGGAGGTGTTAGTGGGAAGATCGATGAATCATCCAGGCTGTGAGTTGCCAGGCACCCGAGTCCATCATTTCCTGCCTGTAAACTGGATCCTATGCCCTTGCTCTCTGTTCTTTCCTGATTTTCCTGGCGTCACAGATTTTAAGGGCAAGGGTTAGTGTTAGTGCTATGATTTTGTTACCATGAGTTTCTAAACAAAGCTGTAGCCAGACAGCCTCCACTGTGCACTAGTTTTTATGGGTTTGGGCCCCAGATTCAGAGCCCATGAGCCAAATTCTGAGCCCTCAGTACAGTAGACACACTAAACCTAGAGGTTCAAAGCATTGCAAAACTTTTCCATTTGGTCATAATTTAAAACTCTTCCTAGAAGGTTGATTCTTTCAACTGTCGGCCAATACCCACAAGGAAAATTGATTCCCACTGTGTGGACTGCCACCAGAAGTGGGAATTCAAGGGCCCTGTGCTGCCCACACTGGGTGTCCACTCGCCCCTACCACCTCTAATACCTCAAGTCACCTCCCGCTTTTGGAATAGTCATCGTGAGCTGGAGGAGGACTCAAATTTCCTGGGAAGAATGCTATATCATGGAGGCTTCTGGGGCCAAGAAAAATAACCCGGCCCAGCTCTGAAGCTGTGAGCCTCAGATGCCACCTCAGGAAGCTGCCATCACCATGGGTAGTGCAATCTGGCTTGATTTTGTCAAAACAAAGGAAAGGGCCTCTAGCAATTTCTGCGGATTTGTTTTGCAAAATTAAATTGTCTGCTTTTAATTCTCCTTTACCAGTTTAATACCTATTGGAATTCCAAAACCAGTGACATTCAGAAAACCCACCCTGGAGTAGGTGACAGATCCCACATGACCTGCATTTCAATCTGGGACCAAAAAAAAATGAGACCATGGAAACTTCCAAAGAGTGGGGGCCTTGGCAGTAGTCTCCCCAGACTTTGGAGCTCCTGGACCACCCCCATGAGTACATGTGCTCTTTGCCCATAGGGACTAATAGCTGTCTCTACACACAGAACAGAACAGAACAGAACAGAACAGAAGCTTAGCAGACTTGCTCGCTCTAGGACCCTGACCATGGCATGGCTCCAGAGCCAAGTTCCAGATTGTTTGTGTTTCCAAGTGGGTATTCTGGACCTCTTCCCAAGGAAGAGGCTGGGCCCAAGGGTGAACCGGCCTCCTCTGCACCCAGCCTTGGGTGGGCTTCGCACTAGCCAAGCACAGGAGACAACCCCCACCTCATGGAGACCCAGGTTAGCGCAGGAGACAGACCCTCAGACAAGTTCCAGCCAGGGAGACCCAGAAGGGAAGCATGAATACCTTCCCTTGTTGGAGTTCCAACAAGGTCCAAGACCAGCCTGGAGGGTATAAGGAGGGCTTCCTTAAGCGGATGATGCCAAGAATGGGTCTTGGAGAAACAGCAGTAGTTGGCGAAGTTAATAAGGAGGCTCAGATGTCCCAAGAGGGTGCTGTGCACAAGCAAAAGCTCACTTAGAAGTTTGAAAGAGCCGGATGTCAGGAGAACCACAAGAGAAGGAGAAGGCTGCTACTTC